AGGATGAAGAAGAAAGATGAAGAAGAAGAAAGGGGCTGGGTTTCAACATCAACAACCATCATCAACATCAACATCAACATCATCACCAGCATCATCATCATCAACAAATTTTTTTTTTTTCATCATCAAACACAGATTTTCAAAATCAAAATAAAAAAAAAACAAACAAACAAACAAACAAACACAGATCTCGCACCGTCGCCCATCACCGTCTCGCACCGTCACCATCGTCACAATCGTCGCGCCGTCGCCATTGCCTATCGCCAATCACTATTGATCTCTCTCCTTCTTCTCTCTTCTCTCACTTCTCTCGCCCTTGTTTTTGATACAAAAGAGAAAGAAGAAGAAAAAAAAATTGCAAAATGATGTCGTTTTGTGATTCGGGCCAATCGAGCCTTTGACTATTCGAGCTACAAGCTATTTTTCAAAATTTTAAATAAAAGGTATGAATTGCAATATTAATTTCCTATGAGTAAATTATCAGTAGGTATTAATAGTTAGACTTAATTCTGATAAAGTCCTATTGAAAATAAATCCAAGTAAAATTGTTTTTAAAAATAATTTTCCACATATGTAGTTAAAAATTGACAATTAGTGACTTTTTTTGGGAGGGGTCATGCTTTGTATAAATTGTCTCTAAAACTTACAATTTGTGATGTGTTTCTGTGACAAATTTTAAACTATCGTTGAAAGTTGAAATTTTGCGAATTTTTTTTGATGATTTTTAAAATGTCGCTAGAACTTATAATTAGTAACATTTTTTATGAGAAAAATTTTAAATTGCCACTGAAAATTAACAATTAGTGACGTTTTTTAATATTGTTTGATAAAAAACATTATTAATTATCATAAAACCTATTGGACAATAAGTCCACCTATTAAGACCTGCACGTAAATCCACCACTTTCTATTGACGTATAAAAAACAAAAATAAGATGAAAACATATGCAAATCTTTTTTTTATTATTTTTATCCACATTGAAAAAGATAGCCATTATAAAAAGGATTAATTATCAAAAAGTCATGTCTACAAATTTGGTGGTACCTTAGGTCCTGTCAAAAAGTTTTTGAACCAATAAGTCACATTTATAGGTAAAAAGACGTTTTGCCCTTTAATCCCAAAACTGAGAATGTTCTCAATTTTCAAAACAGAGAATGATTTCAGTATATAATTATCAAAACTTAGAAAATTCTCAATTTTTTTCCTAGAATGAACTGAGAATATTATCAATTTTGAGAAATCTCTCAATTTTTTTGGTGCTTTTGGTGTGGTGCTTCTAGTATTAATTGAAAATATTATCAATTTTGAGAAATTTCTCAATTTCTTTCATGATTAATTGGAAACTAACAAAACAAAATTAAAATGAAGAAGTTTACATATATTTATAATATTATCAAGCATCAATAGATCAGATCATCCTCCAAATTAAAAAAAAAATAAATCAAAGTTCATGAGCGTGTTTCATTCGGTAACAATAATGAAACGCAGTGAAATGGATAAAAATTTGTACAGTCCGATTCGTCGGAGGAAGCAACAGAGAGACTCTGACAGTTCAGAGAAAAGAGATCCAAGTTCTCGTCACCGGTGAGGCTGAGACCACGTTGATGCTGCGTTCTTGTCGAAATATTCCTTTTGGCGGCCTGAGATTCCTTCAAAGTCTAATTCATTTCTAGGAATGAAGGACCAAAACCATCTCCAAAGCAAAATATGTGAAGAAGAGTATGAGAAAGAATCAATTATTAGAGCCAAAGAGAGATGCAGTAGATACAAAGGCACACACTGAGCTTGTTGGTGTGGGCGTTCGGGTACGAGCATTGAATGGCATCGGGTCAGTTAGTGTGACACACACTTTCCAGATCTGGAAATCTCCTAATCTAGTTCGAGATCTGGTTCGAGATCTAAGAGAGAGAGAGAAAGAGAGAGGGAATGAAGTACAACCATGGATGTTTGGCAGCTATGGAGGAGGTCTTGGAAGGGTAAATTAGTCTATTAAAAATTAATGGGACTTGAAGGAGCAAATAATTTTATCTAGGACTTAATGAATTATAAATGGGACTTGCATGTAAATGCCCCTTATAAAAATAATCTATTTATTAAAGACAGATACTTTGAATTGTGCTTGATACTCTTTCATGTCATTAAAAATATAGAATCAACTTTAAAATCTTAAATAATGTCTTTCTCAATGAACATGATCAAATAACTAGTTAATATCTTATTTTATTATTTGAAAATAGGGCTTGTTATTAATATTTATAAAAAAATTTATAAAGACATTTATAAAGCTATGTTTGACTTTTGAAAAAATAAAACTACTTTAACAAAAATAAATATAAAAATATTATTTAAAAAACTTATTTCTACCCTCTCAAAAGATAATATTATATAAAAATGATGTGTTTTTTTTAAAAAAAAATCACCAATTTAATTTTTTGTTTCTGAGAAATTTTTTCTGAAAATAGATTCTGAAAACCAAACCAAAACAAATAGAACTTTATAATCAAGAAAGTACCAGTATTATTCATTAAAAAAATAGCCATTAAATTTCAAATAACATACAAGTTAATCAACACAAAAATAAGTTATATGACGATTCTACTTTTGAAATGGACCTTTTGCAAAAGAAACATCTTTTAACCGTCCTTATTTGAAATAAAATTCAAATTTCAGGATCAAATGTATCACAATTAAAAAATCAAGAATCAAAGTAACATAAACCTTAAGGTATAAGGACTGTTAGTGTAATTCGCCTTATTAATTACATAAATTAATGTAAGAAGTGAAAAATGATGAAATGTATTAGGCGATAGTATAGACGGACCCAGAATTTTTATACGAGAGAGAAAATATACATACTATCAAAAAAATTTAAATAAAAAGTATGAGTTGCAATATTAATTTTCTAGTGATTTATAAAAAATAAAAATAAGATAAAAACATATACAAATAAATAACTTTTTTATTTATTTATCCACATTGAAAAAGATAGCCATTATAAAAATAATAGAATGTTCTAAATAAATGCACTTTTTAACTTTTTTTGAAATATAGATTAGATTTGAAGTGATGTGATAAAGAAGTGACATAAATAAGATGATGTGACTTAAATAAGATAATGATTTTTTCACTTTTTGATTTTTTTAGGAGATGCCAAACCTAGCCGAAAGTTAGGTATCTTGAATTGTTCTTGATACTCTTTCATGTCATTAAAAGCATAGAATTAACTTAAAAATCTTACATAATGTCTTTCCCAATGAACATGATCAAATAACTAGTTAAAAGCTTATTTTATTATTTGAAAATAGGGCTCGTTATTAATTGTCATAGAAAATTATTCAGTGTATTTGATTTGAATTTTCTGGATAAATTTTTTAAAAATTGACTTTTTTGATTTTCATGTTTTTTTGTTTTTAGTGAATATTTTTTAAATTTTTAACATTTTTTTTACTTTTTTAGATGCACCTTACTTAGATGTATCTAAGAAGTAAAAAATTTGTGAGAAAATATTTTAAAAAATTAATAAATACATAAAAATATTAAAAATGTACTGAATTCTTATTTTTTTTTTTATATTTTTGGTATTTAATGAATTTTTAAAAAAAAAATTTTACAATTTTTTTACTTTTTAGGTATATTTATGTTAGGTATGTCTAAAAAGTAAAAAAATTGTTTAAAATATTAAAAAAATTCAGTAAAAATAAAAAAAAACATGAAAAATAAGAAAATAGAATTTTCTGAAAAGCGTTTTTTGAAAAGTGAAAACAAAAATTTTATTATATTTTGTCTAATTTATTAAATTTTATACTTTGATCCAATGTTTGATAGATATAGTGGAGCAACCACTTAAATTTTTTAAAAAAAATCAAAAGAGGATGACCATTTAAAATTTGTAGAAAAAAAATACAATCTCTATAATTTGGAGATAATTATAATAACTACTATAATACAGAGTTTTTTAAAATCGTAAGGGACGATCGCCCGCTCTTGCCCCCCTTGGGTCAAGTACATGTGAACCAACACAAACTTGTAAAATTTATTACTAATCTCCAAATAATAGTATTTGTTCAATCACAAATAGGGAGTGTCTGCAAATATTTAATGTTATAATAGTTAAAAATGGGTACAAAAGACACTATATGGTACAAAAATTTACACTACATTGGTGAACCCAATCAATTATGATCCCGGGGACATGCCTACTAAAATTACATGAACAAATAATGAAAAAGGAGTGAAGACACAGGCAGTGCGGGTTGATCATGACTTACCCCTAAATTCTGCAATCCATCTGGCAAAATGAAGAGCTTTAAATCGTCATGATCTTCAATTATGGTATCTCCCGCTAGAACGTTGGATCTGAAGAGCAGCTCTAACAACATTTCCCCTTGTAATGATTCCAACCTTCGACAAAAAAAGAGCGCAATGGGATACTAATTATTGCTACTGGGCACCCAATAAAACTAAATCTGATAAATGAACATAGGTAGAAATATGTTACCAGCCTGCCATCGCTATCTACAACCGGCAAGCGACGATATTTTGTTTCGAGCAATAACCTGAAATTAGAAAATTTCAACTTTTGAGGAAAGAAAATAATTATTACATTTTAAATGAACAACATAGTTTTCTGGAAAATGCATTGATGTAGAATACAGTAGATAGAGATAAGAGGGGGAAATCTCAAATACGACCATAAGCCTAAACACACTCAATGTTATTTATCTCAAAAATTGATCATTACAATGTTCAAATATATATATATATATATAGGATCAAAGCCCTAATCTAATTAGGAAACTAACCTAATATTATTTAGAAATCAAATCAACATCTCTTACTAATATTTATGTAATTAACAACAAATAAAAATAATATACCATAACATGTATGAGACCAAAAGGTCTTCATGGCCACGGGCTTCACCTAGGCTGCCAAATCCGATAATTGACTTCCAGCCAGTCAAGGGCTGCGCCATCATGCATCGTTGAATGTCCGTCCTTTTTTATTTTTATTTTTCCTTTCTTCCAGTGCATTTTGTGTCTTTCATTTATAAGCAGAATCATGCAGTATAATACAGGAAATGATATTCACAGTTCTCTTGTGAGATGTGATGTGACCCCAAAAAATGAGTGAGTGAGGCTAAAAGAGGATTGTGAATATCATTTCCCTAACGTGATTAAGCTTTGGTCTCATCTTTGCAGAACAAGTTCGTTCCAAATACCAAATTGAAAACAATTTGAACCTAATAAAAACCCATTTTCCCATCAATTAAGAGATCACAAGAAAAGTGAGTTTTATTACTAGTAAAGGATAAGATAGATCACAGAAAGGGACCTGTAACTAACTTAGGTTGATGTATATGAAATAAAAAAAGAAGCAAGTACCTGACAGCATCTTCAAGATTGGTGGTTTCACAAACAACAAGTGGAGCAGGTGTCATCAAATCGCCAACAACTTTTCCATGAGTTTTACTAAGCAGTCTCTGAATCTTATTAAATGTCTGCAATATTGTCCAGCATCAGTAAACTAATAGTTTGAGAGGCAATCTTTCACAAAACTGATAGCTAGAGGGTTCGTTCATCAATCAACTAAACATATATTCCAAAAACAAAGCATAATAGAACAGCAGCCTTCAGTTCAGATTCCAGGGCATGCTTAGAGCTAGAGGATTCTCATATCACATCAAGTTTTTATACCTCCATACATGCAGAAAAGAAAAGGACAATATACACATTCCTCAAAAAATAGATTACCAAGGAAAAACATCATTAAATTATTCTACAATAGAAACAGTGATTGTTGAATGGATTACAGGTTCTAAGTATACATACTAGCACTACCAGAGTAGAAAAAATCATTTGAGATCCATCACAAAGGTCTAAGATATGACTCACACATGGAATCAAAGCAATAATTTATAGATTGAAATGAGACAATAAGAAACCACCCCAAGTACTTGGGATTCAAAGCTTTTTGAGTTGAGTGAAAAATCAAAATGAGAGAAGATTTGAACACGGTGGTATATGTAGCCAACGAAACAATGAAATATAGGTTTAATATCAATCATTAGTTAAAATTTGAGAAATTGAGCGTACTGATGAAATACTAGATTTTAGTTCAATATACAAGATATGGTTGTGCTCTGTCACCTTTTCTATGCAAGATGTGGCCTACAACTGTCAAGAAATAATTTTATTTGAACTCTACAGGTCATGCTTATATCCATAGCTATCAAACAACTTTAAGGGCCATTTCATATAGTCACTGATCTAACTGGTAGATCTCTGATGAAAACCTTGAGACTGCAGAAAAAAGGAAAAGGGTACGTGTTGGTACAACATAAGGTCTTCAATAAATTCTGTGGGTCATATGCATTTACATACTAATAGAATAGAATTATGCAGACTTAAAATGTATGATAAAAGACCATAGAAAAGGATGTCAATAAATTGTCAGCTATAAATGTTGAAATTTAAGATCAATGTTCAACTCTTGCAATGATCAAAACTACACGTATTAGCAACACACCCATACAAGCAAATGTGCTGTTCTTTTGAGAACTCCCCACCTACATCAGTCTTTACAGGAAAGATCTGATTAATATGAGTATGCTATTTTTTAAAGGGTATTTTTGCAATGATCAAAACCTTAGTAGCAAGAACCTTGAGGGTGATAGAGATTAGAGGCGGTCGGTCGTTGACTTCTGGGAAGATGGTAGGCACTTCAATGACTTAAGATCACCGGAGGTGGAGGAGTAGAAGACCAAGGCAAGCTTAGAGAGGGAAGAGGTGGCAGTGAGAGACCTTGAACACTTAATGAGAGGGTAATTTATGATCTGGAGTTGGGCCGAGATATCGACCGAGCAAGTTGAGGGCCCAACGGTGCATAGGTCCGAGACGATCGACTTTTTACCCAAAGTGGGCTGCCAGAATTTGGGCCGGGCAGAGTACGGGCTGAGTGTCACCCACCAAGGCAAGCTTAGAGAGGGAAGAGGTGACAGTGAGAGACCTTGAACACTTAATATATGTTATGTGATTCTTGTTGCTCTTGCTGTGTGTTTGTGGCTGCACTTATGATGCCGTTATATAGACTCCAGGAGTATTGGAGCCCAAGCAACCTCAAGACAGGTGGCAGGTTCTCCTCAACTCGACAGGAGGGTGATATCAGCCCTACTAGCTGTGTCCTATGATTCAAGTCCTCAGGGAGGTTGCATCATAGGAACTGCAGGGGTAGGTGTGATATCTTGAGAGGCGTATCATATGTGCATCAAATGTAAGTGTAAGGTCAACGTCTCTTTCTCTAAGCCAGGTTAAAGGGGGAGCTATCACTGCAGGGAGATAGCTACACGACCTTGATGATCCCGAGGTCTTAGCCTTTAATCCACAATCCTC